GGGCGGGGTGACTGTACACACGGCGGCCAAACTTGCCAACTTTCACAAGATCTGGAGCTGCAACAGTAAATTAGGGCTCTGACGATCGTGTACAGCACTCAGTGTTCTAACCCCTGCAGTTCTGAGCAGATTGGGTGGCGCAGGTGTTTAGGTAAAGGCTTCCCACGCAGAGCATTTTCTTTATATTTAATCAATTTGTATGGGGGGGGGCGATCAACATAAAATTTTCAAGGGCCACAGTTAGGCCACGTCTGCTATTAGCTCAACATCCGCAGCCCAGAAGTCCGCCTGTGGCCCGATTCTAGGATCACTTCAACCCAACGAATCTTCTTTGTACGGGAGTTGAACTTGGTCTCTCGCTCTAAGGGCAGGGTGCTGCGGAGGGGGAGACGTACCATGAGGCCGGGGAATGCTGCAAATGAGGAGCTGCATTTGTTGAATTTGAGGCTGTCACAGAGGCGAGGGAAGGGTGTTATCTTCTGGGATGTGACGCCATGAAGCACGTGCGCAGGTTGCTCTGCTTGCATGGCTTAAACTTCGGGAAAGATGGAGGCAGTAGCTTCCTTCGAAACGTCGGGCAAAGTCACGCTCAGAAGACAGCTAAGTACTCCACTCTAACAAAGCCGATTTTACATGTACAGGCCCTTTCAAGAGTTCCAAAGTGGGGACAGCGCTGACCTGCGTCCAACTAGCTCTTCTGTTATGGACAACTTACGTCACACTGTTTGGCCCTCACTCCAGCCCGTGGGACTGCCTGGACTTGCTGCCAGCCGCGGTGTGCGTCATCAGAGCATCAGTGACACATGGCGACACTGTGCGATGCCTCAACCGGCTGCATGCTGTAACCCAACAGGACGCCCCGCACTTCCTGCTCGCAGCCTGCTCCCTTCTGCCTCTCTGTGCGTGCCAGACTTTCGTGTCAATGTTTGCCACAAGCAGACCCTTCCCTTCAAACCTCGACAGTCTCTCTATCCCCTTCATTCCACTTTCCGTTGAGAGCATTGTCGGAACAACGGAATTCCTTCTGGAGCGGCAATTCCGCAGAATCAATAAACAACTTGAAACTGTGGCACTGCAAAAAGCGGAGAGACAAACCAGAAAGAGCAACATAACAGGGACCACGAACCAGAGACAAGGCTTCTCGCGGTCGTTGCGACTCTTCTCACGAAAACTGAACGGCGGATGGGTACGAAGGCTTCAGAATGTGTTTACACGATTTTCCGGCCGTAAAGTTATCCCTATGACGCTACGTGGAAGCATCAGAAGCGACCTCCCGTGGGAAGTCCAGGCCGCAAGATGTAGAGTGCACCAAAGTCACGGCACAAATACAAATGGCGGTCGCGTTTCCGAACTGTTGCAAGAAATGCGAATTTCTCACGGAATTCTCTGCGACACTGCCAGCCACATCAACAGTCGCTACGGGCCAGAAGTTCTGGTCGCCACGGCCGCCAGCTTCTGCAAGCTCGTCCTCTTTCTGTACAAGTTCATTCGAGACATAATTCTTGAGGGCGAGGCCCCCAGCTTGCTGACTGCAGCCATGACCATCAACTGCACGCTGCAACTAGCCAGAATCCTGCGTGTCTGCTACAGATGTGAACAAGCCCGCTGTCAGGTACGCATCTCTCAGTTATGGTTTACTTAACGAACCTGTCGATAGCTAAGGTTACATAGTGTCGGATGATGATTCGGAGAGGGTTTGGAAAAAAAACTGGTCATGGCCTAATAGAGATACTATTCCGGAATTTGCCTGCGGAGACTGAGGAAACCCATGAAAAACCTAAGCCAAGTGACTCAGTGCTCCGGCAGAGGATCCAGCACCTCCCGAACATAACTTACCGCTATACTAACCTGCTAAGCGTAACAATTTCTGCTACTTTTACTTCCACTTTATTATTTAGAACATGTTAATACTGTAAATCAGATATCCCATGACAGCAATACATAATATGATCGATCTAGGAATAATGAACAGTTTAGAATATATTTTTCTTGTGGATCTGAATTTGTCGTAGCAGAAACAGATTCGCTGTGTGGGAGGGCACATTTCTCTATAAATCGGATGTGTCAGGCTTGATGCTAGGAACACTATTTCCTTACAATGAAAGCGATATCAAAAGTCCGGCATATCTTTCTGCTGCCAAATGTCATGACACTGAATTCGCGCGCAGAAATACTGTCCATAGAATGCATGACAAATAACCAAATTCTGTCTACGTCATGACAAATGTTCTGTTTTTCAGATCGAAAAATCCAAGGACCTTCTCCTGAAACTCTCTGACACTGCAATGGCGCATGACGCAAAACAAGAGGTAAGCAAGCCCAAGGCAACGTTCCGAGCACTATGAATGTGACTGGAGCGCTCCTATCTTCTGGGATGCACGGCCGGGTAGTCCCATCAAAATCAATCCACGTTTCGGAGAGATCTGTCGCCTCCATCTTCAGTGTAGAAGAATGAGCTAAGCATGAAGCGGGTAGCAAGCGCTATATCCCAGAAGACAGAAGCCTTCATAACCACCGCTGTGACAGTCTCAAATCACATTTACGTGTACGTTTGTTTGGATCATTTTACGAGTCGCTTTCCTTCCATGTGCAAGTCAGGGTACCAGCAATTACCACTGTACGCTGTCTGGGCACGTCATCTTACCACACAACGGAAACGTTCTCCGTGTAGTCCAGTAAGTCATTACTAATCGTCGGTGGAAGCCGCTGCTTTCGTCTAGTGACGTGATTTCTACCCTGAAAATGAAGCCAGTAGGTTTCTCCGAAACGTCAGCACTTACCTACCAGGCTACATGGTATCACAGCCCAGAAGGCCTCGTGAGAAACTGATTGCACCTTGCATTGTTCCAGGCAAAGGTGTTCATCCTGCAGCTGGCCTGCAAGAGGACCCAGTTCTCGGCCTGTGGCTTCTTCTGCCTCAACTTGGCTCTTATTCGCCCGGTAAGCGAACCCACACTCTCTCTCATACACAGCTCTACGCGGTTCCGGCAAACTCATTTCTTCTGAGTTACAGTTGCCATGGACTGAGGAAAACTATGAAACCTTCTAACCCCCCCCC